GTTATAACCATTATTCCTGGCAACGGTGTTAAGATTTGAGTAGCTCCTTGTCTCGAAATTATCAAGCCTGATTGGTCTTTAATGAGAAGTTGAAATGTAACCGTTTGTGGATGTTGAGTGATATGATAGATATCCCGACTGTTAACCACAATTCCGCTTAAATATAGTTTACTGGACACGTGTAATCTGATTTAGCGAAAAGAGGAAAATATAATATGCATTCATCTACTGGTAGCAGATCACAGAAAAATTAATCGGTTGTCTTACCTCAGTTCCACTGGGAAGTATTCTGTATACCCTCTGTCCATCGTGTGAAAGATCACAGGGCAAGAAGTTGTATCAACCGGAAAACTAAAGGTAAAGGCCGGCGTGACGTGCGTTTTTCTCCTTGGAGAATTTTCATACTCTGTTTCGCTCGTCCTAGACATTTTACATAATTTTAATATGAGCAAGTATATAAGCTGGGTTACAATCCGGTACTAGCCGGAAGCAATATAACGAGTTTCTGATCAAATGTCAATGTAATACATATGTAATTGTACAATAATATTCGTTTTTAAGAATTATTCGGTATATGAACATGTATGACCGTACCGGAAGTTGTGACAACAATTATCACCATGTAATAATACGCAAGTGACAATTTTTTAACATATCATTTGTAATCAATTGTATCTGTGTGCCAGTGAGAATTTTTAATCTCTTTGTTGCACCCTCTTAAAAAATGTTGCCCTTTTGAAAAGTGAATGCGCTCTCAATTATAAACACCTATGTATTTACATACACATACATATGTATTTATAAGTAATCTATGGGTTGATTCTTAAAAGGAGACCTTTGTAGTATACAAAACTTGTGGTGAGCAGGTGTCTTTTTTAAATTTCCTTAAAAACGTCTGTTATCATACATACGTAAAAATATCTTTCTTTTATAAACCAAACCAGAAGTACATATGTATGTACATATCCCTACATATGTACATATGCACTAAATCCAGAGTACACTATAGTTTATTTATGTGACCATTGGATACAGTCTCGAAGCCGCCACTTTGCACAGTTCGAAGGGGCCCCACCCCCCATGATTGCGATGCAAAGTAGAAAACGCCCATTATAGGGCAAACAACGGCCATCATCCGAAAATCTTTTCAACTTTAATAAATTCTGACCATCGCGCAAACTACCTCACGCAACCTTGGAGGTATTGGGTTTCATAATCCCAAAATTTCAACAAAATCAGAGAGATGCCCTTCGCATTATGCCGTTATAAGTATGGTTTGCTAAACAAAATTCTAAGTGCCCTTGTGTACCTCTTGAAAGGTCAACATATACTTAAGAAGGTGTCGAAATGAGCCACTTAAATATATGTGTTTTGATCATTATTAAATTGGCATTGTTGTATTCGTGTTAAATTGCCACCTGAATTTATAAAAAATAATATAAACTGGGTTTTCATACTCGGGATTCGCAAAGTAGAAAAACATCGCAAGAAGTTCATCTTTTGAAAATATTCCTGTTGGAGAGACTTCATTAGCGAAATCCTGCATCCCCATGACAGGGAAACGAATCATTTTCAGCAATTCTTTCATCATGGTTAAACGTGGGTGACCGTTTTCTTCATCTGTGTCAGGGACATGATTCCCCCATCTGCAGGAAAATATTTATAGTAATTTGTATTTATATACATATGTATGTATTTATTTACGTTCGTTTCTGTGGTTAGTACCTATGTTTATTTACATATATGTAAATATGTAAATTATATATACATGTATGCGTTTAAAGCATACATGTATGTTAACGTATTGCTTTAACATATATATTTATGTAACTCTACTTTTCCTTAAATGCAACATTTTTTGACCAAACGGTACATTGAAAACCTGTTCTAAAAATACCGGAAAATGCTCAGTTTAAACAAAGCTATGATGGTATTAGTGCCCGAAAAATCGCATTTTTCTCCCCTTAAAACAAAAAAAAGTTCACGAGAAAAATGCGAATTTTGGGGCACTAATACCATCATAACTTTGTTTAAACTGAGCATTATGAAAAATCCCGAAACATGTGTTCAATTATTTATGTAAGACTACAGAATTATCGTGGTTTCATCAAACTCGGAGCGAGACCGCTGGCGTCATCGCATTGTTAGTGCGAAATGAGTTAATTTTACGCAAATTTTTAGACTCATCCCGTCGCTCTGCAGGTCATTTATACATTTAACTTACATTATAGGCTACTTATTTACGTTAGGAAAAATCAAAAACCGAATGTAACAGGGATGACATTTGGTTTTGAATTTTCCTGAAAAATTTATAGCGAACGGAACGGGAATTGATGCTATATTATGATGCAGCGTATGTTGGTACTTGTGCATGCCAAATTTCGCATCTCTAGGACAAAGTTTAAAATTTCGCGTAAATCCGTGAAAAAGTGGGAGAGTAACCAATTTACAGTCAATCCAACAAGTATTGGCAACCCCCACGCAAGCTAAGCAAAATTGGCTATAACTTTTGCATTCATTATCAAATTAGCATGAAACTTTGCACGCATTTGGCAAATATATTGTAGTGTTCGATTATAATCATGCTTCCGACTAAAATTAAATAACCAGCACGTTATCCTGATCTTGATACGAACGAGTCAGGTACGAACCTCCAAAAAATATTGGCAACCTGTGTCATAATTATTTGTGCGAAATTTTTATCACGACAAACCTCTGCGTCTTGTCAAGGTAAGTTAATCAGATGAAAGAATTTTACTTTATGTGCTTTATAAGTCCAGATTGGTATTGTCTAGAGCCAAAATGTCGACACCAAACGGGCTACTTTTGGCGGAGCGAGAAATAATCTTGCCTCCTTCACAATCAAGCTTGGATATCGATAACTCAGACAGAAAACATGCTCCGTGATATTTACTATTCGAAACGTAGCCAAAGAACATGATGCAATAATTTTAGTTCCTGGTTTCCTATGATATGGCTAAAAATGTCTCCTAATCCTAAAATCAACGGATTAATTAAGCAAATTATCACGCGAGATCGGAAGATTTCAGCTTCCAAAACCATGTTGAATTTGAGTACGAAATGTGGGGTCAACATAGCATGCAATATGGTGATCAATCAAAAATCATGCCATGGGGTTTCAGGGTCCAGTATCCCGACAGGCGCGAAGGTCCCTGAAACGAACCAATTCAATAAATGGGAACGGGCTAAATACCATCTTTAATAGACTTTCAATGACTGAAAAAGGGTCTGCTGGTCCGAAATAGGCAAATTTTACTTATTCGGAGCAAATTAAATGGTTCAAGTCTGCCGGATGCAATAAAAGGCTCAGAAAAACGAATATGTGCATATGGAGATTTTGGTTTGGGGTTAAATGACCAGATCGCTGGGTAGTTACCTGGTCATTATCGATCAAGTCATGACCAAGGCGGTCTAAGTAATCATTCCAAACGATAATCGGAAAAGATTTGACAAAAAACATGACCCTGGAAGGAATTTCATATTCCAAAAATGCAGTGGCCCCAAACATGCATCCAAATTAACGATGCACATTTTTGGAGACCGAAAAAGTTAAGCTTCTTTCGTTGGCTGCACAGTCTCCCGATATGATTCTGATTGTCCGGGTTAAGATAAGAGGGACTAGTGGGAAATCACGCGTCCAAATACGAGCTTGCCAAAAGTTCCAAAGACGATTGCAAAGCCATATCAAAAAGCGTTATAAAGAAACTGGTCGAGTCAATTTTAAAGGCGAATTTCTGCTCTTATTGCGTCGAGGGGAGGTGCTACGCGGTACTAGAAGTAGTTTATCAAAACAAAATTGCAGTATCTTTAATCATGATTTTTTAAGCTGAGGGTTGCCAATACTTTTTGTGGGTTAATTTCGCCAATTTTCCAACAAATTATATACAAATCGTGTCAATCTATTTTTAATCGACAAAGGATTATTATCACCGAGTTCCACATTAGATTTGTCAAATATATGCAAAACTTCAAGCTAATTGGATATTGCATTCAAAAGTAATAGCCAATTAGGTTTAGCTTCCGTGAGGGTTGCCAATACTTCTTGGATTGACTGTACATGTCATTAACCTAAACGTCATTAGTAATGACTCAATAAATCAGATGAACACATTTTAAAGTTAAATATTTTATGTGATGGTACGATTCGTACCCTACAATGAGGTATAAGTATGGGTATATATATGTAAATATAAATGCTAGACCTTACTTATTTAGGAATCAAATTAATTTCATATGAGTGCACTAAATTTGAATCATCTTACTTACTTTATCAAGGCCTTGAACAAATCCACTTCACTAATATCCAAAACATCCTGCTTCAATACAGCTTTCACGGTTTCATAATCACATAACAAGAAGATGTCTTGTTCTCCTGGGGATTTAATATTTCTAAATGGAGATCAATATTACAACATTAGTTATAACACAAAACCTAGGGATGTACAATTGTGCTCCCTTCTTCTTTAGTGTAACTGTGCCCTTGACTTTGTTGCATCCATCGTTTTTGCAGCATCGTATCCAAAACGGAAGATCGTCCCGCGACAATAACCTTATGCACGTTAAACCGAAATTGTGCCTCTCCGACGAAAATTGATAAGTCAGAGTAAAATCCGGTCTCCATAAGGTAATTCATCATCCCCGCCAAGGACATCGGACGACTATGTTCAGCCATACACTCACAGAAAAAACGACACCGAATTGACACCATGCCGGTGTCTATATATGACTCTACCGGTTTGGTGTCAAATCGACATAACGTGGTGTCAATTATGTTGCACACCGTCGCGGTGTCGACCCAACATACCGTTGTAACAATGCCAACACCGCGAACGGATTAGAGGTTGTGCTCAGTTATGTTGCTTTGAGACTACTAGGTAACGATATATGTGCATTTTAATATATGTATGTCACCAGCCGGTGGCAAATCGTCCCCGGATTGTGACAACTGAAATATAACTTTTAGCAACAAATATTTTATTTTACATTTAAAAATATTAAGCACTTAAAAAATTAAACAAGTATTTCAAACATATTCACAAGTAACAAGTTATTGTACTCGCACAAATTAAATAATATTTTTTTCTCCATACCGTATGTACTTTTATAGATAAAAGATTACATTTATCTAACACGGTGATCTAAAATATGCGTAAATCTTAAAATTCAATGAGCTTGGCAACAAGAGATTTAATCATAATTAAATAGGCTGTCGGGTGGACAAATCCTTACTCGTCGGTTCCCTCGTTGGGTTCAGCGTTGAGTTTTAGCTTGCTGGAAACAATAAGTTTTCAAAATAAAAATACACACAGTAAAATAATGTTAATTAAATGAGGGAAAATTAATATATGTTACAGATTTTAACTCACCTAAAGTCAAGAAAGTGGTAGTAGTTCTTAAACGTTTTAAAAAAACAATTTTTTCGAAATTAATTGAACACACCAATTAATTTATCCACTTTGTTGATGTTTTTGTGGAGAAGAAGGACAATGGCCGCCAAGCAGAACCGAGCACACAAGGAAAAGACTGACACAATTTTGTGTTAAGCCCAAGTCTTGCTTACTGCGGTAACATCGCATCGTGTCAATTCGACACCATTGCCGGAATATCGCTGAAACCGGTACCGTGTCAACGCGTTTTTTTCGCTCGGTGTCACTTTTACACAACGGTTTGACACTATTTAGTGGAGTTGAGGTTGACACCGAGGGTTGGTGTCAACAAAATTCTTGGTTTTGTTACCAAGTTGCTAAGAGTGTAGTTAGCTTGATTGGGCTGGTTATTTATTATAAAAATTGCAGAATAATTTTGCCATATGGACAAAGTTTCATAGGTGAAGTATTTGTCTGACGTGGAACTACTGAATGGAAGTAGTATCTGCATTTAGCACTGTTGATGTGCTAAAGGCAGATGATTCAATCACAATATGCGGAAAGTGCGGCGATAGGGCGATTATGTCGATAAGATCAGCCATGGAAGTTCCATGATGGAACCTCATTCATACTGATAAGGTCTTACTAATACCCTATACTTTTAAGAAAATCACTAAATTGCGATATTGGTATGCTTTTATAGATCCTCTTTTTATGATGAAAGAGGTAACAGGGAATAGGTTGTGTTAACCGGAAATCTTAACGCATGTAAATCCACCGTATTTAACCTCCTCCTTGGAGAAGTTGCATACATTGATTGGTTCTTTCTGAAAGTATAAATTTTGTCATGTCACTACCACTTAAGAACTTAATACTGTCTGGTGACAATTTAATACTACACTATTAGAAATTTGGTTACGATTATAACCGAAAAGTAAACATATGCGACTCTACCGCCGTCGTTATAAATTTGTAATCGAGTGGTTGCAATTGTCAACGACTAACAATTATGAAAAAAATAGTAGTCCAAATATAATATTATTCATTGAAATGTTTTTAATGTAAAAGTTTACCATTATAAGCGCTGTGCATTTTTACAGTAAAACTGTTCATAATCCTCCTAATTGGGTCATAAGTCAAAATTTAAAAAAATCTATCAAGGTCTTTCATGCTGATAGATATTTGATGGGAGTAACACCATAATTTTGATTAACATCCATTTTGTGGTCTTGTTTATCACATCAATATCTGGACCTAGGCACATAGTCAAATATTCCAAAGTTTTACAAGGTTTTATTCAGGTTTTATTTTCAAATTTTCTTGTCAAATGTATTTATTATAAATAAATGTCCAATGTGTCCCTACCTAAGTACATCGTCTATTGAGACACAATTTTATGGTCACTCCCAATAATCATAAACTTACAATAAATTACAAGATTAGTCTAAATTTCGCCAAGTACTCGCACATGCATTGTTTTATTTCAATCCAGTTGAAATAATAGAACTTGTTACATACTGACGTAGCAAACTGCATGAAAATAAACTAATGCAGGAAAATTTCTCAATAACTGAAATATCTGTGCTTGTTGCAGGACTAAATACATATTTTAAATTCGCCTACGCTCCGTTTTATCGCAATACAAAAAAATACTCAAGCCAAGATATTACTTTTCGGTGGCATACATACAAAGGTTTCTTTGTGCAGATTATCTTACAATAAAACAAATTACTTTGTGTCCAATTTTGTTTTACAAAACTTTTACACACATATTTATCCAATTGACAAAAAATATCAGTCGCGTCGCCACAAAAATATTTATGTCAATCCTATGCGTTGCATTCTGTTGTGCATTCTGTTATTTTACTTCAAGCGAACAAGTCAACAAAATAGCTCCGTAAAATAACCTTGTTTTTCATCATGCTTCCAACATTTTCAAAAAACAAATTCCCCCAAAGTTTCCAAACATATTTCAACCAGAACTGGAAACCCTTACTGACCACGAGGTTACTCGGTTTGGACATGTACACCTTAGTTTATCAGCGGTACACCAAAATGCCGATAATGTGGGACATCCCTCGCCAAGAATTCGTCTCATGTGAAGATTCCCGTGAAACGAGGTGGTTTCGGGCTGAGTGCATTGTAGGCATGGGAATCGTAGCAATTTGCTATGTCACCATCTTCTTGCAACAAATCGCACGGTCGGAGGATTCCTCAATCCCTCAAGTTTCCCTTCTCAGCCTTATCTCCTTTTTTTCGGCGGCACAAGTCTCCATTTATGGTGCCTCTGGAGCCATCTTGGTAAAAAATAATGGAACAGAGTATGCACGAGGGTACAATTTTCTGAAGCGTTTGGAGGATGAACTGGTCCAAGGTTAGCTACATAAATTTTAGTTCTACTCAACAACCATCCTTTTTGAACGTACCTTTCTGCTAATTGGTTTTGAATAATCTTAATTTTCAAGCTAAAAGCTTCAAAAATCACTCAAATTTTCAATTTTTTTCAGCCTATCGATACTACGATCGTCGTACTCCCTCACAAATCTACACCTTCAACCTGCTCGTCCTCTCTCTGGCCTTTTACTACGTCACCCTCCCACTCGTCATGCTGCCTGCCTTCCTCTACATGGACATTGATCCCGCCATGTATATCCTCGACATTATATTTGGTCCTAGCCCACCCCGTGTTTTAAAAAATCTATCACTCCAACTTTATCATCATCTTAACCGCCTCATCGTCCGAGCAGGATTCATATGGACCTTCGCCGTCGGATTTTGCCGCCTCACCGGAGTAGTATTGCTTTCGCTCTTGGTCATCTTCAAAAGGATGCGACACGTTTTGCAAATCATACATCGCATGAACGGAAAAACCTACAGGAAAATATCGGCCATGATGTACTACAACGAGTTACAATTGATTTTCAAAGACATCGCCAAGCTACAAGACTCTATCGCATCTGGCTTGTTAATCATTGGTTTTTCGCTGAATGGGTTTGTCATCTACATTCTCATTCAAGGTTATCGTGTCCTACCGTTCGGCGTATACTCAATGTTTGTCGGCGTTGCTGTCATGACCATTTCTTCCATGACGACGTCTATCCCAGTTTGCGTTGATACGAATCGAATTTCACTGAAATTGCTGGATGATTGGAAACAATTGAACGACAAATTGCAGAGGAAGAGAGCAATAGCAATGCCACAGATGAATATGAATTTTTCATTTGGTCAATTTAGAATTTTTCGTATGACAAAAGCGGCTAAAAATAAATTTTATTCAGCCTTGGTAGATTTTCCGCTAAACATGCTGCTGGGGTATTCAAGGGCAGAGTTTGAAATGTCATTTAATGTACGAAACCAGAATTAGGGAAGGAATTGTCGTGTTTGGTCAATCTCCAATTTTTCGTGTTTTAGAAGTTTTCGGTTTTCTCAAAAACCAGCCTTACACCGATTTTTGAAACCCGTTTTACACCAAATTTTCGAAATTGTGTAAATGTGTTGTAACAATATTTATACACTAATTAAGAAAAAAACGATTTCAGAACAATCAGGTATTATGTACATGAAAAACTAAAATCTAGAACCGATCTTACAAAATCGAAAAAAACCGGTTTTGGATGCCCTAATGTCAACATACCAAGTTTAAACAGGAGACTTACGTTAACTCCGCAGGAAAGTATTGTATGGGCGCTTTTCCTATGATGCGCAAGCTAATAGGGCAAGAAGTCTTATTGACCAGAAATCTAAGCGCTGGGGAGCCCAACTTGGGTAATTTTTTCCTCCCTGAAGAATTTCCATGCGTTGTTTTGCTCTTCCTAAGTTCATAAAAGTATTATAAATACTAATTGGCAAATAGCTTAGTGGCAGGTCAATTGACAACCTAGTTTTTAAGATTTTATGTACAAACTGGTTTTTCATACTCGGGGTTTGCAAAATATAGGAACATCTCAAGCATTTCATCTTTTGAAAATATTCTTGTTGGGACAACTTCAGTGGCGAAGTCCTTTATCCCGATTACCGGAAAGCGGATCATTTTCAGTAATTCCGGCATAACGGTTGACCGTGGGGGATCCTTTTCATCGCAGGTATGATTCCCCCATCTGTAAAATATTTGTTATTAGTCTCTATTACATATATTCGTGAATTATATGTAGTGTATTGAAAACATACGATTATGACAAAATCGTTATGGTTACGGTTATTCTACAGGTATATCAACAGGTATTGCAATCACAGGCTTCAAGTGATACAAAAAAATAATTTCGGAACCGAAACAGTCTTTAAGATGGACGAGGCAACAGTAGATAATTTTTTTACCAACACCAGATACAAATTTTTGTTCAGTGTATTACTTAAATCTAATAAACCCCAACAAAACCTAAGAACAATAACGCACAAAATCCAATAACACTCAAAACCCATTAAAACTCAATAAAACCCAAACCACCATTTGAACCCATTAAACCCCGATTAATTCCGTTTATACTAATTTACATAAATAATCTTATAGCTTACTTAATCAATGCTTTGAACAACTCCACTTCGCTAACATCCAAGACATCTTGTTTCAGTACTGCTTCCACGGTTTCATAATCACACGACAAGGCATCATTTTCTCCAAGTGACTTAATATTTCTAACGATCAGATCCAATTAGTTTTATGTAACACAGTATGTAAATTTGTAAATAGGTACTTCTGTGCAAAAAAAATGTGTACAGTGGAATTGATTTTGCCAGTCATATAATTTGCATATAGTGACACATTCGTTATAGGAATATATTTTATTCAACGTGGAAAGCCCGTATCGCCGAAAATGGCATAGTGAAATTAATGTAGATGAGGGTACAAGCCCAAATATGTAATTCCACTGTACATGCTTATGTTCCCTAACTAAGATATCCAAAATCAGTGTTTCGATTTTTTTAAAATAAACATCGCTTTCCGCATTGGAACTTTAAATTTAACCAAATACCGGTTTTACATTTAAAAAATCAGTGTTTTGGAAATCCGATTTTAAAAACCGCCTCGATAAGAATTATACAATTGACAATAATTGTACAACTTGCTCGTCATAAGGTGGGCGCAAATTTGATACCAATTTATCAATTACATAATAAAACTAATTTGTAATTGCGAAAGTCGCACTTCAGCAAAAATTGAAAACTCTCCTCGCTCAGGGCACGATCGATGTGAGGGTTATTACGTTCAGGGTCAGCCATATTTTGTTTGACTGGGCTATTTTTTGTTATTTATGGCAAAAATTAACGAATAATTTTTGCTACAGGAACTTTTTTGTAGCGAAGTATTCGCTTGACTGGAACTACTAATTTAATGTATGGCTGTTGCTATGTTAAGATGATGTAACCGCTTTTTGTGTAGTGCATCAGAGCAGCGATAAGACGAGTAATTTATGTCAATTAGATAAGCTGAGCCGTACTGATAAAATGTTCTGCAGTGAATATTATTTAATTCATGTACATATTCGAGTTTAAATTAGCTAGCCTTTCAGCGAAATAATATTTAATTCAAAATTATGAAATAACAATCAACAACCAAAGAAATACCAGCGTGCGTTAGTTTTATTCGCAGATTTAATAGTGCAACTAATCGAAAATACATAAAAATTTCAAATTGTTACCTTGCCATATCCCACGCTTCTATGCAAACATGCTTTTAGAAAAGTGGTATTAAGTAGTTCATTACTGGCAGGAGTAGATATACATTTTATACATATGACTCTGCAGGTCACGGCAATTTAATAATAACGGTAATTGCCGTTTAGTACTGTTGTGGTATGTAAATATAAAATTTGCATACCATTCAGACACAAACTACGAAGAATCCGGTAGGAAGGTAATTAATGCCAAGTCAATACCAGTAAGAAGTTCGTTACTCTACCAGATTTATAACTGTGCATACGGTGATCGCATTTATGTACGCTTGTCACCTAATTTGCATAAATCCCACTATGCCCACTTTCCGATACGGGCTTTCCGTGTTGAATAAACTCTATGTATTTTACGAATGGGTCAAAATATGGAAATGAGGTTACACGCACAAATAATTCCCATGTATGTACATACATGAAATATTTACAATTGGTTCAGAATAGTGTATTAATTCAAATTAGTTATAATCCGATAACGCGACGCATGGCTCCGAAGAGGGACCTTTACACTGGACTGAAAAGTAAATCACGAATCCACGAGTTCACATTGGGGCATGCATTGCCAAAATTTGGCGTGTGGAAGGTGGCTGTGACATCGCCATCATGAATCCTACCGTTGCATGGTTGTCGGCCAAAGGGCTTAATCCGTTGGTATATTTTTTCCTCTATATCAATTTACATTTGTACTCGTAAAACGTATGTTTTAGTTAATACTTTACTTACGTGATGAATTCAAGGGTCCCCCATACACCGTGTCTGTCGAGCATTTCACTGTGAAATTATACACTGTACCTGGTTCTAGTTCAAACTGTGCAGCAATTTCGAGATTTGAGCTTATTAACGGTGGTGTTAATCTTTGAGTGGAATCTTGCCTCAAACGTGCTGTATAGAAGCATAATGGTTGTTGAATAAACAGTTGAAATGTAACCGTCTGTGGATTTTGGATAAGTTGAAAGATGTCCGAACTGTTAACTACAATTCCGCTCAAGCTTACTCTATTGGATACTTGTAATCTGAAATATGTAAGGTAAAATGAAATACATGTAATACAGTAATATTATTTCTTTCTATGGGCAAAATATTATTGTTAAGCATTCATCGTGCATAAAATGTATGAAGACTATTTCAAGCTGGGAATTTCATACTTTCATGAAATTTTTGAGTTTTTTACATATCAAATGGGGACAAGATCTATACTGTTCTTCAAACTTTACAACGCAGTGTTTAAATTTTCATAGTTTTGGATATAAACTTGTTAAACTGAATTCCCGAAATTGGTCTTGGATTTCTAAAAATGACAACATAACTAAGGATGTTGAACAGGAAGAAAATATATAAAAAATCTGGGATAGTCATAAATAATCAAAAAATTGTCCAGTTGTACATATGCAGAAGTAATTCCTCCGGTCTGTAAAAACTGGTTTTCATTCATCCCTCATATTTGGAAATGGATACTATCCTTTGACAATAACATGGAGCATGTGACATGATGAGGAAAACACCCTAAGGAAAAACCCGTCTTCCAGAAAACCAAACCCCATGGTTTCTCGAACCCTTCCCTCAGGCGGAACCACATTATAGCAAAATTAAACCCAATACCTACTGTAGCTCCGCAGGAAATTCTTCGACCATCTTTTTTTCCATGATGTGAAAGGTAACACGGCTGCTACCTGTATCAACTGGAAACCTGAGAGCTTGTGGACCCGCCATGACCAACTTTTTCACCCTTGGAGAACTTTCATACTTTGTTTTCGTCTTTCTGGAAGTATACATTTTAATATTAATAAGTACTCGGTGATAATTCAATACTAGTCGGTATGTATTACTAGTTGCTGATTATGTATATAAGTATGTAGATGCTAGTGCATTAATTGGAAGTAAACTGTAAAATAAGAAACTACTACCAGCCGGAATAATACATAAATACGTAGTATGTAGATAAGTATATGACTCTACCTGCATTTGTAACATTGAGCATACCAGTTCATTAGTACGCGTATAACAATGCGACATCATGCCAGTTGCGAATTCGTATCGGTGGGAATGTGTCACCTTTTTGCAATGGTTAGCTTAATTCAGAATGCCTTGGTTTTTCGAAAGGATGGCCTTGTTTTTAAGAGCATACTGAAGCTCCAAATGTTTTCATAAACACGTAGTTTTACCGACTACACTATGTGTAGTCGGTAAATACAACCGAGTCGAGTCAAATTTCCATCCAAGTTTTTAACATGATAAATTAGTTTTTCATACATACTCGGGTTTCGCAAAGTACAGAAACATCTCAATAACTTCGTCCTTTGCAAGCACTCCTGTTGGCACGACTTCAGCGGCGAAATCCTGCATTCCAATGATCGGAAAACGGATCATTTCCAATAATTCTGGCATAACGGTTGAGCGTGGGCGATCTTCATCTTCATCCGTATCTGAAACATGATCTCCCCATCTGCAAAATATTTTTAATTTATTTTAATAAACTGTGATTTGCAGGAAGTCTGGTAACGTTTAAAATTCCAGGGGTTAAATTCGTTAAAATTAAAATTAATAATTAACTTAGATTCCAAATATTAAATATTCAAATTTCAGAAATTCTGAGCAATAATTGTGCCTAAGTTTTGAAATCGGGTCAAAATTCGAAAAGTGATAGCTTTTTGTGAGCTTAGCTGAGAATGTATTTTAAAATTCCGTCTCAGGCAACAACACGGGCATTCTAGAAAAACAAAAACCCAGGCCACTTATTTCTTAACGTGAACAGTTTAAGTTAGTCGAGTCAAAATCGGAAATAACCACCTTGTATCACTGCATTGTTAGTCAGTGAAAGCTTCATAGTTTTCCAACCAAATAAAACATTTTCCCCGAAAACCGTAGAAATACCTATTAATTAAATGAATTTACTTTTTCACAGCTTTGAACAAATCCACTTCACCGATATCTAAGACATCTTGCTTCAATACGGTTTTCACGGTTTCATAATCACATAACAGGAAGGCATCAGTTTCCCCAAAGGATTTGATGTTTCTGAAGAGAGATTAATATTACACATGTATGTATGTATGTAGTTATAATACGAAACTTAGGTACGTATGTATGTACATGTATGTATGCTTGCATTTAGAAAATTAATAAATAATTATCTTTTATTTTTTCTAATTTTTTTTAAATAAAAAATTTTACCTCAGCAAAAACTCAAAACTCTCTTCACTCAGGGCGCTATCTATGTGCTTCGTCCTTCTGTAAATCTCGTAGCAGTTCTTCACCCCAATTCGACCCTTAATCTGCTCAATAATCTCCCCCAGTAGTTTTGGAACATCGTAAAAATTAGACAATTCCAAAACCTCCAAGCTCAAGTCAATGTTTTCATCCATTTTTAACTCGTCCGTGTAAAGATACTAAAAATTAAGGAAACTCATTACGTATGTAAACTCTTTAAAATTTTCAATTTTTTATGCAAAAAATGATTGGTTATAACCTGCAAAAATATGCGAAACGCATCAACCCCGTGTTGCGGAAGGTGTACAATTATTTTGCCTTCTTCTTCCGTATAACTCTGCCCTTGACTTTGTTCAATCCATCGTTTTTCCAACATCGTATCGAAAACGGAGGACCTCCCCGCGACAAAAACTTTATGCACGTTAAATCGAAATTGTTCCTCCCCGACTAAAATTGCTAAGTCGGAGTAAAGCCCGGTCTCAAAAAGACGACCCACCATCGCCACCAAAGATTGAGAATTACTACGATCAGCCATGTTTTTAATGGGAAATTTGTTTTATTGGTGGTGAAAATTAAAGGACAATTTTTACCATATGAACTTATTTTTGTAGTCAAGTATTCGGTTGACGTGGAACTACATAGATATTTAATAAATGCCGGTTTCTATGCTAAACACATACATATGTAAATGAGTCAAAAATAATATGCGGAAAGTGAGGCAATACTAAAGTATGTCGATTAGATAAGCGATTTAATCCTACATGATGATAAGGTGTTAAGAAGTTAATTGCGTAGGTTGTCATTGGAACGTAACTTGTCTGGATGGCTATCAAATTCTCCGTAAAAATTCATAGGTTCGATCGACCTCCAATTTACATATGTAAATGTAGCCGAATGTTCACGAATTTGTAGAGTAAATTAAACATGATTATCATTCAGAATTGGAATGGCAAGAGTAAAATAAATTTTATAATTAACCCTTTAAACTGTAACGACGACAATAGTCGTTTTATAAGAAATGGTTTAATTCGGGAGTACGACAAAAGTCGTCCTAAAAAATCGTGGTCACGGCGCGGAAGGACGACAATTGTCGTTTCTAGGAGGTCATTGATTTTCACCATTTTCTCTCCGCGACCTAAAATTCGTTGCAATTTTGAGGTATTTCTCCTATGCCAACACAATGCTAAATTTGAAGATTTTCTTCCCAAAAATTTGGATATTTCCCTATACAACTCAATGTTAAATTTTTGATTTTTCAGTTTTTCGAGTTTTATGAAAAACTCCTGAATTTCTCCTCCCGCGCCATGACCACAACATACCTATAGCGTCCCCGATTTAATGCATTTTCTTGTCGTTAATCATACACGTTAAAGGGTTAAAAATACATACATTTAAAAGAAAGTGGCTTACTGGCTGGCTTACTTTGGTAAGAATAATTTGTCTAGCATAGCCGAATTCAAATGATTACAGTCTTTACGAATACTGCGAATAATTAACGAAATGAGCGGAAGTCGTATATACATAAGTGAAGCATATGTATGTAGTTACTGCGATCTGCTTGTGCTCCGCTTGTCCGCCAGACTGTTTATCCGTCCATCTGCATGCTCGTTTCTTCCGTTCACATAAACCTATCATTTTTAAGATTTCCTATTAAGGTCTAAACTCATTTTAAGATACATACTTAGGTTACGAAGAAATAATGAATACCCTTAATGCATGTTTTTAATATCGGGAAATTTAAGACTTTATTGAGTTTTTTTTTAAATTCTGACAGCACATTTTTTCAAGTTACTAGAAATGATTACATAATATGTAAATTACATATTATATAATTTGCTACCAGTTGTTTTTAGACGGACACACAAATCAAGGAACCCTCCTTGACATCGATAGCCACATGATTGGTTTACAAACTGGCAGGTACCTCCACTGGTTGGCTGTCCTAGGAGCCCTGCATGGCTGCATGTGTAAGTGTCGTTAAGGCTGTTACACTTGGGGGCCGTACAAAGGCAAATTAGCTCGGCTTCCACTATTCCAGGAAGAAAACATCCCAGCGAAGTAAGAAATAAGAGGAGACCGGTAAAGTATCTTGCCATTTTACGTCTGAATCTGGAATTTAGAAAGAATATCAGGTTTTCTAAAAAAATTGGTAACAAATACATTTAGCAAAAAGCGTTGGCAAATCCAAGTCAAAAATATTTAGATTTGATAAAATCGGAGTATATAAATCACGATATGCTTTTGATGCGACGCAATTACGTGTAAGTAATTATCCTTAATGATTTAAGAACTCCCCGCCAGAGATATTCACCCGCGAATTCGTCAAAACCATGTCCTAACGCCTTTTGTATAAGCCGACAAAATATATCATAATTTTTATGTTTTCTTGCACCAATGGTGCAATTTAAGCGGAAAAATATGTACAAGCGCCGAATTAAGAAATCTTTACCTTCTAAAAGATACAGGGCACAATTGTTGTGTATTTGCTAATTAATATTTGTCTACGTGTGAGTACGTATTGCCAGTCTGCTTGACACTGAAATCATTTGAGATAAAGAGTTAACCATTTTCAAGTAGACAAAACTTTTGTCTAAACTATGTACATATAAATGATACAACACTTTTGTCACAAAAGTGTTGTAGCATTTATAAATAGTTTATATGAATATAGAAGGAACCATCCGTAAATTATGTCATACACGAGGGTATGCTCAAAGCCCATGTTAAAGCGACGTAAGGCAAGGGATGTGTATGTAGAAAATCGGGATTGTTGAGCGTTACACAGTTTATGGAAGCCCCTGCGTATTTACATATTTATGTAGACAGCAGTATGCATCCTAAGTTCAAACAAACCCCAGATATAAATATGTACATACATATTTAGTAAAACGTTCTTTTGTTCTTCATTTACAGTATAGCAAAGCAAAGTTTCTCGCGGTGGAAAAACACTGGACGAAAACCTTACAAAGGTTTTCAACCTAGCTTTATTCATATCTGAGAAAAATAAGTTATTTACGTATACCTGTTTTAAAAATATTATTATTTAGCTGGGTAGATTAATTTAATCACAAACAGGAGAAAAATGTAAAAGGACCGTGCAACAAGGATGTGATCTAATATACAGTTGATAATGTCAAGCTACATACTTTGACATATAAGAGGTCGACCCATCCGATGCAGATCGATCCGGTTTGCCGATAGCATTATGCTCGCCCCCACCGCTAAACCTGATTTTCTATTCGCTCAACATAGTAACCCCAATAAATCGGGGTCACAATTTAATAAGTAATTATTATTAATAATTGTGAATACCTAGTCGCAAGGAATTAATTATCGTTAATTTAATTCTATCATTTAAAACAAAACTTGAAAACTTAGAAAATAAACTAATCACAATTTTTCTGTCTCTGTAATAAATAAATACATATCTAGGTAAGACCCGCACAAATACTACGTCATCAGATTAATTGTTCAGTTTTATATGTAGTAATCTGGTGCACACATTGGTGGCATATATGCGAGGACTATTCACTATTCTCTCTTTGTCGATAATTTCCTATCACGCAACGTAATACTTGAATGGCCCGCAGATTTTATAATTTGGAATAAGAACATTCGTGAATAACATTTTAAACTCCAAATCCTCCACAAATTTATTTCATTAGATAATCTTATCAAAAGCTTTGAAAAGGTCAAGACAAAATTAATAAATTGGAAACACAGAAAGGGTTGGACATACCTTATTAATCGGGGAGTCCTTACTTACATACAGTCATACGTGACTTGTATCAGCTACCCTCATTCCATAAAACAAAAGAGTTAACAAAACATTTCTGAACTTTTGGAAAAAATGCTGCAAGAAATTTTTCGTCACCATTTGCGACGTGGCATCCTCGTCACTAAACGATCCGGACTTTATCTCGGATACTTTTTAGACTGGGATGACCAGATTGGTCGCGCTATTCCGTTACGGGGTGGCTTAAACTATCGACTTTTCCAGGCGGCCAGTTCCTTTGGAATGTTTCTATTTCTGCCAATTTTATTCCTTCGATGTTACCAACTTTACGTGACTGATCCACCCGTCGAAAGTAAAATGGCGATCAATTACACCTTCGTGGCGACCTTTCTGATGATAACGTTTCTTCAACATGCGGCAGTGCTGATAAGGCCAGACGGGCAGAAAAGCTTTGTGAACTGTTACGAAGCAATCTTGAATTTGGAACGGGACATGCAGCGTAATGGACACGATACATAGTTCTTTTGTTATCGCATGGCAATAAACTTATCACTGAGCGAAGGCAGTGTACGAAACTATCTAGTTTAATCTTATACTTAAGGATTTGAACGAAATTAAGTTTTTCGAACTAACTTGAAATTTGTTGTGCTTAGCTTATTTAGAGTTTCTATGAAAATTTCTATTTGGGTGCTTACACTATGTGACATTTTTTTACCATGCGATTTATTACCATTAATACCTATGCTATTATTGTCATATTCACAAATTTCAAACCATGTATTTAGAATCCATCCCAGAATTATACTACGACCGTGGCGCCTCCGTCGATCGAGCAGTCGCCATGGTAACCTTGTTTCCAAAGGTATAACTACAGAATTCCTACGTTAAATTATTTATTAATTTAAATATAAAATCGCTCAATTTTAAATTAATTCCCCAAGGTATTTTTCCACGGAATCGACTACGTAGTTCCAGTCATGTTTTTGATCGTCGGTCTATCTGAATCCTCCCCGTTGTACACTTTGCTCCGCGCCATCTACAACTTCGAAAAATTCTTACCTCATTATGTTCCCTTTATAGTTTTGATCTTATCTGGGGCGGCCACACTTATCGTTGGAACCGGAATACTTTGTACGATTTCCCTTTGCGTGCTCATTTTATGCTACGGGATCAGCTGTTTGTACGTCTGGACGCTGTTTTTGGTCCCGTTTTATTGCAGAAATCCATCCTTCATGAAACTTCGTGGGGGATTATCGTTCTTCGATTCGGTCAAAATTTACCGCGAGCTGCATGTCATGACGCTAATCGTGTCTGAGTTGGCGCGCGAGTTTTTGAATCCGTGCATGCACTATGCGACTTGCGTGGTCGTTTCGACGTTAGCCTTGTACCACGTGATTCTGCAATTTATGCCGCAAACGGTAACTGCGTCGCCGTTTCTGATTGGAATGTGCAGTATGGCTTTAGGGATTTGCGTGATGATTGAATTTTTCGCGATTTGCTTGATCGCACGCGCAGGCGCGGGTTCACAGCTGTTTCTTCAAAGATCGAAAAGGTTGCATGGGGATAATAAGTATGCGAGAAAAGTGTTTTCGGCACTGTTGCCGAATTCGATTAATTTAGAGTTGATAAGGTCCGTGGATACGTTGAAGAATGGGGTAGAGACGAATTTCTTTTTGAGGTTTTTTTCTTGTGTGACGGATAACACGTTAACGCTACTTTTGGCGATTAAGTAAATAGGTTTGTGGTGAATATGAGAACATGAACTAAATTAATTTTCCACATTTTTTTTCATCCATATTATATTGATATCCATATTTCTGTCATCCACATATTTTTCAGCCATATTTCAGAGGTGATATTCCGTCCTCTCCACATTTCGTCCCTAACCCGGGATCCGGACAAAATGAGTATAAAATGAATGTGGATTGGACGAAATGTGGGTGGAAAAATGTGGATGACCAGAAATATGGAAAGGGCAAAACGTGGATGCCTTGAATGTGGAAAACTGGTTATGGGGATTATGTGATATTCTTGTACTCGCCCTTCTAATCCTAAATAATTTAATTTGTCCCTATGCACAGTGCAAACTATAAAAATTTCAGGACCACGCCCCTGAGGGCTAACTCCTCAAACAGGGGGTGTCGTCGGTAAAAATGTTTGACGTATTTGTTGAGTCCCCCTGATTATAAATATGCATATACTGTTCAAGTTACACCCCCATGGACTTTTGGGATGTGTTCTGGTATTATATTATACTGTTTCATGTCTGTTCTAGAACATTGGAAGTTCTCATTACAATTTGAGATCTAAACCCGCACACATTGTCCAAAAATGTCCTAAAATGTCTCAGTTTCGGTGTTACACCAAAAAATAAGCCTCGTCTTCTGTATAAAAATTACGCATAAAGATTATGTAATTCCTATTTAAAATCTGCTGTGGAGAATGTAAGCAACTTTTTATATAAACTATACTTATAGACTACCATTTACAGTGTAAATTTTACATCGAATTTTAGGACGGAAATCGGAAATTTTGGGTCCGATTTGAAGTCGGTAATCCGGCTCTCAGAAATCTAATGATAGCTCCATGTAAAATTGTTACACCAGTCAAAGCTATATTTTTAATTAATCTAAAGAATTAAATTTTCCACATTTTTTTCATCCATATTATATTGCTATCCATATTTCTGTCATCCACATATTTTTCAGCCATATTTCAGAGGTGATATTCCGTCCTCTCCACATTTCGTCCCTAACCCAAATTTACAAAGACAATTTACAAATGATGAAAGTAATACACATAATTAATTAATTATATGTTCCTAACAATCAGACTATGATACGTGTGGCTTTTTCGAGCCTTTTCTTATTGAGGCAAATACATAACAACGAAAAAATTTGTATTGAACTGTTTTTCGCTTTAAAATTTCGGTTTAAAATTGCTCGCTACCACAGAATATAGATAAATAAACTTATTAAATGCCATAATAAGGAAAATAAATGTACGTACTTATAATTATTATGCAGACATGTATGTATATCCATATGGTGCCCATCTACACAATAAACATAGTAGAAACTGAATTTATTTACAAATTTTTACACATAGGAAGCAAATTATTTGCAACAAATAGTATAGCTTTTCATGGAAAAATCGTAATCATCTCTGCAAAAATTTTCATACGTGATGATGACGCAGTGTCAATGATTTCTCAGCCACCACCACCGCGCGGGCCAGAGCTGAAATTTATCTCGTGCTCCTTGTTTATGTACATTGCACATTGCTCAGCTGCTCGGCGATTTATTATTTTTTGCATTCGTGCAAAATAAAATGAAATATTTAACGTAAAAAATAACTAAAATTGAAAATAATTATGGCGACAATAACCACCACCACCCTTTGTGATAATTGTTGCTCCACCACGAACCCGTTAAATTTAGTGTCATCAATCTTCCATCAAGGTAATACTTTTAGATTTCCTAATGGTGTCACAGTGTCATCCTTAATTTCTGACCTTATCATTGCCTTATCATTAAACTTACTAATTTATGTTTCTCTCATTTCAGAAGAGAAGGACGACGGGGAAACGATTTCAATTTCGAACGGACTTTCCTCCCTGTTTTCGTACTGGATGGGGATAAACGACGATAAGGTCATTGACCTCACTGCTCCTCTCGTCCTCCAGTTCTGTCCCGGATGTGTCCACATATTTCGAAAACTTCACAAAATTTCACTACAATTTGCAAAATTGAGCAGCAAGGAGGGCCAAGTCGCTAAAAGGTTGGCGGAGCTGAGGCTGACCCAAAAAATTAGATTATCATCGCCTCCCCCCACTTTTAAGGGAGAAGAAGATAAGGTCAGGCGCTCACTACGAGGTCAAAGGAAGAAGCAGCAAGGTCACCCCGTGAAAAAGGAGGATAAAGCACAAGTTAAAGATGACCTTCTTGATGATAAGCATGACCTTGCATTTCATATTAAAGAGGAGGAGGAAGACGAAGAGGCAAATTTATCCGCCAGTGAGACGATTGATATTAATTCCGTTCAGCAGTACCGTGGCGATAAGATTCTGCCTGGAACGGAGGATACCATACATTTTGGTAAATTCACATGAAAATTGTACACTAGTTTCACGCGGTATAAATATTTATTAATTTCTCTTGCAACTTAATTGCTTCTATATTTCACTATCTAGACCATGGTACGAGCGAAACGCGTGATTTTGGAGGAGATAAACCTAATTTCATTGAGGCCGAAGACGGTAATTAAGTTTACAATTTCAATTTCAGCACTTTTAATTTTGTAAATTCTGTCAAAATTTATCCTACGATTTTTATTTTTAAAAATTAAATTCAAATTCTTGTGCAATTTTTCATTCTAATTTTTTTTATAGCTGGTGGTGACTTTGGAAGCGACTACGACGACGACTTTGCAATCGATCCCCTCAAATTATCCGGAAATGAATCCTCCTCCTCTAATTATTCGCCATCGTCCCCCTCCTCTGGCGACTCTGATAACGACATCGACGCCCCACCAAAACCGAACCAATGTCCAATTTGTTTCAAAACATTTGTCTCCCTGGAAACAAAAGACCGTCACTTTCGACAACAACACGACGAAACCTTTATCCCGCTACCTTGCCCTGTCGATAACTGTGACCTCACTTTTAAGCGGAGGGACCACTTAAGGAGTCACTTAACGAGGATACATCCCGGCGTTCCATTTCCTCCAGATCTGCAGCGCCAAACGTACAAGAAAAAGAAGAAGAGCGACGACGACGAGGGCGCAAAACGAATTCCGTGTCGTGTCGCCACCTGCGACAAGACGTACTCACGCACCGACCACATGCACTTCCACATGCGTGCCGTGCATCCAGAAGTTCCCATAGAAACGGAAAGAAGAGGAAAGACAAGAAAAACGGTAACCCCAAAGGTGAAAAAGGTCAAGGAAAAACGGATCCGCAAGAAAGTTGTCAGGATTAAGAAACCGTGTCCCGTTTGTGGCAAGGAATTTAGAGCGTGCAGTTTGAACACGCATATTAAAACGCACACGGATGAGGTACACGCATGATTTGCATATTTTATGAATGATACACTTCACGCAGAAATTTAGGGTACTCATTACGAGCTCGCTTTGTTAACAACATTAGCAAAAAAAATTACAAAAAATTTTGGTTTATAAATGAGTAGGGTCTTTTTGGGGGTCTGGTAGGCCACGGATCTTTTTGCACTCGATTCGGGCTTAACTATTGACTTCCTGCCCCAAAAGTGGTTGGAAGTAACTTTTTTCAACTTTGCGCAATTTATTTACTATTACTCTATCGTAACCTTCAAAATTAAAAAATAAAAACCCGTGGCCCCCCAGCACCCAAAAAAGACCCTACTCCTTCCTGTACGAACTTGTGCATGTCCAAACTAGGATTTAATTCGCAAATTTTTATTTATTAAATGTTTGTAATGAATAGCCATATTATTATAAATCCGCAAACTTACAAACTTTTGCAAAATTTTACGCAAAATTTAAAGGAAATTAGCTGGGATTTTTTTTAAACTTACTCAGATCTCAGATCAAGAGCGTACCTTCTTCTTTTACCTTCCTTAATTTGGAAAAAAATTGCAAAATTATGATACAAAGCGCACAGATTTTACAAGTTACCAATGACTGCGTGAAGTGAATTGGCTCAATATTTTCTAAAAATACCCATAATTTCTAAAAAAAAAAATTCAATTTTCTCCCATAGCGAAATCACCTGTGCAACACGTGCGGAAAACTGTTCCGGACCTCACGAATCCTCCGCCTTCACATAAACGACGTTCACATCGGAGAGAGAAAATATTCCTGTCACATCTGCGGAACGACTTTTGTACGAAAATCGGCCTACGACAACCACATGAAGAACATTCACGAGGAGGCGGAGAAACGCTGGATTTGTGAAACTTGCGGAAAAACGTATCGCCAAGAACACAACTTGAAGGAACATGTGAAAATGCATTCCAGCAAGAGTTTCGAGTGTCCCATTTGCCAAAAAATTTTTAGCAGGAGGGCCAACGTCCGGCTGCATGTGAAAGGAGTGCATGAAGGGGTCAAGCTAAGGCCGCCCAGAGAGAAGAGTAAAGCTGGAGGTGGTGGTGTACGTCGCGGGAGGATTTCGGGGGATCAGAGGGGCACGGAGTACGAGAGAGATGACGATAGTGTGGAAAGTGAAAATAACTATGAGCAATATCAGCACCACGCTTATCAAAGTGGTCATCATGTAACTCATCATCAGATGTATTCTTTATAAGTTCACTTATTAAATTGTATTTTAGTAATAATTCCATGACGAAATACAAGTTGAAGATAATTGTCGTAAAGTGACATTATGTATGGTAGAAAAATTATTTTCGAGAACGAATTTTCAAAATAAATATGTTCATTCAAATATACATTTTCAAAAATTTCCAATTACTACATAATTTTAATAATTTAACATTCCATGCGTTTATTATTTTACGTATTTCTTTTCTTCCATTCAATATGCAATTACACTTTTGATTGATATTAACTCCTACATACATATGTAAACCTGCTCGTGAGTAACTATATGCATGCGTTATTATGCATGGAATCCGCGTTATTGTATTGCAAATCTGGATATTTAATTCGGATCGGATTAAGACTTAACTAGATACATTATTTACCTATGTCTGCAAATATGTATTCGCATTATGCCTATGTTGTACATACATATCTACATACATATAAATATTAATCTCACGTATGGGATGGTATTCGTTGTGATCGATCATCTATGTAAGACTTCAACTCTACCCAATTTTTTCATGTTTTCTCCATACATACATGCATGAACAAATAAATCGCTAGCTTACAGATAATTTTCATGCAGGGTGAACATGTATATACATAATTTAATAGGTGATTTCCAACACATTTTTTGCCCATGATACATTTTTTTAGAAATGGGCTTTACGAACGATCAAGGTTTAAACAGTCAAAAATTTGAAAAATGCACCCAAGTGGATTTTTGAATTAATTGACCAGATTTTTGAATACCCACCAAGACACGTACATTTTAGAAAACTTAAATTTTTTTACGATAACGTCGAAATCCGACATAATCACTTCATTGCTTCGCAGTGACAATAATGACAACAAATGTAATTAAAATTACTTGTCTTATCTTTCAAATTGATTAAATTGGATTAATGCCTGCTCACTACAGGTAGTTAGGATTAACAATGAGGTACATACATACATAGTTCATGGTAAAACAATTTCGGTACATCAAACTAGCTGACAAACATTCATCCGAAATTATGAACCTAAATATGTAATTACATATTATTCAGATAAAGTGGAAGTTTGAATTAATACAGTATTAAACATTTTTATTTGCACAATTTTTTTCAACAGGCCTGACGCATACATAGTTTAATTTGAGGTAGGTTATATAACTGACCATTAACAAAGTGAGGTCATCCACATTGTGGCACAATGTGAAAACGTGATTTTGGCAGTTGAATAGGTGCACTCAACGCACGTAAATATTTGTGAAAGTAAAACTTTTGACACAAATTTAAAAATTGGAAGAAATATATAATTTCAGGCAATTCACGCAAGTTTTGTTAACATTGTAAAATCTGAAAATTCTGTAAACTTTTTGTAAAATTTTTGCAAAATTAAAAAATATTTTAAGAAAAAAATAACTTGCGCATTTTTGTGAGCTTGCTCAGGTGTCTTTCTATTTTGTAAAATAATTGTACAAAATTTCCAGATTTTACTAGTTCCTAATAAATTGCTTCTTCATATTTGATATTTGTTTTCGGTTGGTAGGTAACTGTTTAAAAAATCACATCCAAGTTTTCAAAATATTTTTGTAACGGATCCCATCGTTCGTAATTTTTGGGAAAAATTCTACAGATGTCCAAATTGTCACAATGCTTACTAACTGATTAAATTATTTAATACGGATTAACGCTGCACGTTCACGTGGCTTCTGAATTTTTAACGTGATCTGCTCAAGCCAAGCGGACATAGTGTACATCGTGATGAAATTTGCTGTATAAGCTTACCGATAACATAGGAAAGATTTTAATTCATAGGGGACACTCACGACCTGTCGTTTGAGTCCAGGGTACCCACCATGTTTTTTAGAATCTACTAGGACCCCACATGAAGGATTCATTCATATTTCCGTGTAAAACTCATATTTAGCGTCGTGCCGTGGCGCCAAACTTAAAAATTTGCATTTTCGACCAACTTCAAACCCCATAACTTTTGCAGTTTATGTCGGATTTTCAAAACTTTATGCTTAAAATGATTACAAAAGTCGAAATTTTTGAGAAAAAAAATAAAATTAAAAAATTTATAATTTTTGAGATATTTTTAGCATTTTTTCGACGAACCCCCATTTCTAAGAAAATTACGAAATTTTGCGAAAAGTTAAAAGCGATAATTTCGGAAAAAATTTCATGGGATAACAAAGTTGAACTCCTTGTCATGATTTTTCCCGAAAATTTTGAAAATCCGTCCAGGATTTCAAAAGTTATGGCCGTTTAAAAAATAAAAACATTCAAATTTGGCGAATTTGGCGCCACGCCATGGCGCCAGATATGAGTTTTACACGGAAATATGAATGAATCCTTCATCTTGGGCCCTAGCAGATTCTAAAAAACATAGTGGGTACCCTGGACTCAAACGACAGGTCGTGAGCATACCTGTGCAGCTTCACTCAATTTAGGGAAATTGAGGCTTCATTCACGATGAGGGAGTGAAGGAGAGTGAAGCTGAGTGAGGGAGTTGAAAAATTTGATCGAGTGAGTGAAGGTGAGTGAGGGAAGCTGACAAGGGACACTCACGACCTGTCGTTTGAGTCCAGGGTACCCACCATGTTTTTTAGAATCTACTAGGACCCCAGATGAAGGATTCATTCATATTTCCGTGTAAAACTCATATTTGGCGACGTGGCGTGGCGCCAAATTCGCCAAAATTGAATGTTTTTATTTTTGAAACCGCCATAACTTTTGAAATCCTGGACGGATTTTCAAAATTTTTGGCAAAAATCATGACAAGGAGTTCAACTTTCTTATTCCATGAAATTTTTTCTAAAATTATTGCTTTTAACTTTTCGCAAAATTTCGTAATTTTCTTCGAAATGGGGGTTCGTCGAAAAAATCCTAACAATATTGCAAAAATTAGAAATTTTTTATTTTTATTTTTTTGTCAAAAATTTCGACTTTTGTGATCATTTTAAGCATAAAATTTTGAAAATCCGACATAAACTGCAAAAGTTATGAGGGTTTGAAGTTGGTCGAAAATGCAAATTTTTAAGTTTGGCGCCACGCCATGGCGCCAAATATGAGTTTTACACGGAAATATGAATGGATCCTTCATCTGGGGTCCTAGTAGATTCTAAAAAACATAGTGGGTACCCTGGACTCAAACGACAGGTCGTGAGTGTCCCTTGTGAGACGAGAAATGAGTGGAATGAAGGGTGAAGGAGTGAAGGAGATGAAGGCTTCATCTTTTTCACTCCTTCGTCTCCGGGGAAGAAGGGCGAAGTAATATAGGGTAGATAATTAGTTTACATACTGAAGTTACCGCGGGCATATGAAAATAGTTAGTCTCATTTCACCCCAGGAAATTCTCGCGTTGCCCCAGCCTCGTGCTACATTACCCAAGCCCAGTCTCACATTGCTCCAGCCCAGTCTCACATTGCCCCAGCCCAGTCTCACATTGCCCCAGCCCAGTCTCATATTGCCCCAGCCTATTCTCACATTGCCCCACTAGATGGCGCCAAAATGCTTAAGTTATGACGACACGAGGGATTTAATTGAATGAAAGAAAGAGTGAGGAAAATAGCTGAGTGAGGGGAATGAGTGAGTGAGAGTTAGTGAAGGAGTGAAGGGAATGAAGGAGTGAGAATCAGATTTGTCAGTGAGTGAAGCCTCACTCAGCCTTCCTTCACGCGAGTGAGGGGAGTGAAGGGCAACTTGGCTCGATGTGAAAATGAGTGAAGTTGAGTGAAGATAAATTCACTTGCACAGGTATGGTCGTGAGTGTCCCTTGTCAGATTTATTAATGAAATATGTATGTTAAAATCGGTGCAACATTGACCCATAATAATTTGCAACAACGCTAATTTTTTCCGACATCCCCTTCACTATGTGCACAGTTTGGCGTGAATATGCCTAATATGAAGTACATCTGTACATAAATATGTATGCAAATTCTTTCTTTTTTGCTATAGGAAGTTACCTAGGCATGCAAATATGCAGGTACCCATAAATAGACCCAGTAGCAATTTCAGGTACATTACATACCTGGTAAGTTTCCAGTGCAACTTTACACATTTGCGGATGAGGTCTCAACGATTGTTGTGATATGTAAATGAACTTGTTCCTTAATCGGCTGGCTACCTCCACAAAAGTTGAGGTAGGTTGATGCCGATGGACGAGTTTTGCCTAAGAAAAGCATCACATGCTTTCTTACATGGCTGATAAATACTGCTAAACGTGACGTCATTGACTCGATAGAATGATCCATTTGAAGTTAATTAATAATTGGTTTCGCAAAATTTAGATTTTTACACCCAATTTCTACCCGTTAAATATTTTTGAGAATTTCATATGATGAAATAATTTCCAGGTCCACAATAATCGAAAGACTACAAATTATTGTCTCATACAGTTAATGATTGTTAAATTTGGCCAGCATGGGAAATTCTTTCGGGATCGTGCAAAAATAAAATACGACATGAAAACTAACGTTTTAACGCCTTATATGAACTACGAACTGGGGAATAAGTCACCCTGGGAGATATTCAGAGGGTCTTACAGCTTAAATCTGTCCCCTCTTTCTTGTACGCGGTCCTTTAACAAGATCCTCTCCATTTTTACGTACTTTTTTACTTGTTTGATCCGATTTGTGTATGATTGGTACCCCAAAATATCACGTATCAATGTCATGCATAACTACTGATCTGCACATCTGTACTAATAAGACTATGTACATATGCAATTATTAATTTAAACCTCGTACGTATTTGCTTGGCTTATGTATACCCATAAGGTTTAGCTTATCCATTTTTGTGGTACTTGGATTAAGTTTTAATTATAACTAATTAAATTTGATATTTGATTTGATGTCCAGCGAGGGCGTTTCTTAGCCAGGCTGATACTGACTTATAAATTAGACTGTTTAAGCAGATGCATTAATTCGTATGTACCGGCGTTATTGCGATCTGGAGTCAAAAGTGACAGTAGTACCTCTGCCGAATTCCAGTCGATGCTATATAAAATGTTCCGAATTGCGACGATTAGCATTAGTTTCTTCAGATTAGTCAAGCAAGATAATAATTTCTGGAATTTTCAAAATTGGAAAAATGAAGATAAGTACAATTTGGGCAAGCCTGGCTCTGCTGGCGGCGTTCATATTCGGAGTTTTTCAAGTGTCCATCGCTCACTTAAACCCGGCCTGCAGTAAGATACCGATGACACCAGGATGCACTCATAAAGCGAGGTAAAATCGATAAAATTTTGAGATAGAAAGCTGTAAAACTGCTTCAAATTTTCGAAACTTTTAATTCTTCTGTTGTTCATAATTTTGAACATTTTGATAGAAATGTGATCCAATTTTCACCGTTAAGCGGATGTGTGTAGCTATACCAGATTCGTAAATCTGCTTTAAGTGAAGAACACGTTTTAAGACAAATTTGTTTAAAATGCGTCACAATTGAGCAAATTCCGAAACTTTTAGTTTTATTTACTTCTTCCGTTGCACGTACACATATTCATATTTCTGCAAATTTTTAATACAAAATTTCAAAAATTTTGCACCAAACATATTTTATTTGCATTTTGTGCTATTTTTTTTACAGTCAAGTAACCCCTTCCGTCCCATTGTGCCCGCTCCCCTTCAACGAATGGTCCATAGCTGCCCGCGCCGTGCCGGGCAACTCTCCCCGCCCCGGCGGCTCCATCCCGCCCTGGTTCAATCGGGCTCTTGCCCTTCGCGGGCAACAGGTCGCTTCGGAATTCCGAGTGCCCTGGTACATCTCCATGTTTTTCGGCATCCTCGTCGAACTCAACATGCCCGACGTTCGGAACCCCCTCATGTTCAACAAGAAGCAGACGACCGGCGCGGACAACGCGAAGCGCGACATGGCCACCCTCATGCAGGTAAGGATGGAGCCGTGTCAAGCCAATATATGTCATATTTGTCACATTTTGACCGTCCAATTTGTCACAATTCCAATGTGACCGACATTTATGATATATACGATATTTTAGTTGTACTCATTACTGCTGTAATCCAAGCAATGAATTGGAAATTTGAGCACTTTTCGGAAAATAAATGTCCGATACCCTGACAAATATGGCAAATATCATATTTGTCAAAATTAAAATTGTCATAAATGTCCAATTTGTCGAATATTAAAAAAACGACATTTATGACACTTTTAATTTGCCATATTGGTCACAAATTTTAATTTTGACATTTCTGACATACCGATTTTATCAATGACATGTCATGCAGGGCGTCGTCTGGACGCGAGACTACTTTCATTCCATGCCAATCGAGGGAAACTCCTCCTTCATCGATTCCATCCAGAACGTCCACGCGATCCACACCGACGTCGCGCGGCGCGCGAACGCTAAATTCGCGAAGGAAGGCTGCATCGTGCCCCGACACGAGTACGCCAACCAAACGACGAATGACGTTATGTGGGACGCGTTCGAATCTGATTTGAAGAATTCAAACATCCCGGCGTCGCAACGTGTCCCGTCCCCCACGAACTGGCCGACCTGCCCGACCCCGACGGACTGCGGGGCGTGTAAAGCTTGCAAAAAATGTGAACCTTGTAAAGGAGGCGGGGGGAAATGTAAGACGAAATGTACGGAATGCGCGGGATGTAAGGCGTGCAAGCAGAAGGCCGCGGCGGGTTGTGAGGATCAGGTCAAGTCGTATAATTGCGGGGCGTGCATGTGTGACGCGAAAAAGGGAAATTGCGGGGAATGTAAGAGTTGTACTAGCGCCCAGAAATGTTTGAATTTCGTCCCGCCAATGTTCAATCAGCAATCGATGCTGTTTGTGGTGTATCTTTTTACGGCGTATCCGGTTCTGTTTGGGAAGGATTTGGCGATTAGTGCGTGTGAGGCGGATTTGTGGGCGTTTAATCATCTATTTGCTGCGGTTGGGTAAGTCACTGCTAACAATTTGTCGAGGTTCTGTTTGTAGGCGGGTTTTAAATTCGAATTTTTGTCTGTCTCAACTTTCCCCTCTTCTATGTATTCAAATGGCGATTGTGAAATGTTGTCATCTCCGTGGGTTTTTACATGGTGAAGATTTCATTGAATTTACTAATGGATAATTTTTAGCCCTCCAAAGTTAGATAAAGTTTGGACAAAAAAATCCGAATTCTAAATCCGCATACAATGGAACCTTAATGAACCAATTTAACTTTTTGGTATAATTTGCATATAATTAATTTCCACAATTTAGCTACGGCCTGGGGATCGATGACAAGTACAACGCTTTACTTCAACCCGACATCAAATCGGCTAGGATTTACTATAAAAAGATGCATGAGGAGATCGTCATTCCGAGCTTGTTCCAATTCAACAAACAGTCGAGACTCATGATGGATAATGTTTTCAAGGTTTCAAATTTTTTGGGGGAATTTTTGTAGTTAAATCTCAAAATCCCCCAATTGAATTAATTCGTGTTATAATTTCAGGGTCTGTCCTCCCTAACACGAGATCTTTTATCGCCCACCTTTTTGCTGCATCGTTTCGTCCACAACTTTTTGAACCAGCCCGCGCCTCGGCTGAAAGCGCTGATGACCAAGAAAGAGCGGGATCTTGACAGCACGTTGGATTCCTACTTGCCCCAATTCATGAACAGCGCGAACTATCGGAGCGTGGCAAACGGGGCGCTGCACGGCTTTCTGGCCACCACGACGAACACCTTGTTTAAAGGAAATTGTAAAGATGACAAGATATCTTCAAAGAAATGTTTCGTCTAATGTGGATACATTACAATGAATAAGGAGAAAATTGAAATGCTTGCTAATTTTTGCAAAATACGTATACAATTTCGAAATTAAATTTCCAAGTGAAGGTGTAAATTTTAATGATTTTGCATCATCGTTCGCATTTCTGGGGAGTTATTTTTATTATATTTGCATTGAAATTTCCATTAAAAAACAGTCTGTTAGCCAATAATGCCAAACAGTTAAACAATCGTAAAATTTTCATAACTTATGCCCTGGCTACACTACCGACGTAATATTCTAGAGTTTACTGGTAATATGGGAAAATGCATAAGGCCAGCTACATGTGTAACTTGCAACCAGTTCAGAGTTTACTCCAGAGTTTTACTAGTAAAATTTCACTAGTAAAACTCTAGAGTTCAGAGTTTTACTACGAACTCCAGCTATACCAATATGCTACTTCAGCGTTAAACATTGAAATTTTAAGCGCGATTTCCAATTTAATGACGAGAGTCCACTTATTTTTCCAAACATTAATTCTTCGTCTTCATTTAATTTATAAGAACATTTAAATCAATGGAGTCGCAAATAAATATCGAAGTTGTTGGTAAAAAAAGCAAATCATTTTTCGCAAGACGAGAACCTCTCATTAATACGGATTTGGGGATCGCCTGAAAATCAGACTACAGGCCATGACGAAATTCTTCGACAGTGGAGCGACATATTTTGAAATTCAGACACGAAAATTAAATGAAAATTGAAAGCCCTGAAAATTGATAGCCATGAAGAGTGAAAGAGAGCAATAAACATGTACTAAATATGATAAAGTTTTATGTACGTATTTATTTTTCTGCTATAATATGATAATTAACAAATTGTAAATACAGTTGAAAACAACGACTCTTCATTCGCTATTTAATTAGTAATTAAAGGGCCACAGATTTTCATTCATTGGCAAAAGAGCGTGCCATATGGTCACGTTTTTCTTTTGCGGATGTAGATACGTAAGCGAAACTCGATAAGCCCAGCAAGACCTTCTCTTCTTTACTTTTCCAGAGTTTCGCACTCTCAACAGGGTCTTCACTTGATGGAAGGGAAATGGTGATAATATAGTCAGTCCTGGACGTCTAATGAAATTCCAAGAATGAAAAATTGACGAGCTAATTATTGTTAAATCCATGTCGAAAGTTCAACCCTTTCTCGACACTTATTTTAAACTAAATTATTATTTTTTAGATGGTAAATTTTTAAAAGTCCCACCTCTGAGAAATAACTCTGAGATTTGGTACCCTGAAAATTACAACGGTACAAAATGCAATGTGGCTGGAGTTTTTATTTCAGCGTTAAACTCTAGAGTTAACTCTGAAAAAATTTACGACAGTAGTGTAGCCAGGGCATTATGTATTTTATTTAACATTCCCTGGGTTTAATATTTTGATTGCTTGCAACTTCATACATAATTAAAGTCTTGACTAAAATTTAATTCTTATTATAATTTTGACCTGATATAGAATTGGTAATTTTACATTATTGGAGGAAAAGGTGGTTGAAATATTAAACACAACCCAGAAAATTAAGTAATACGTCATACCCTGAATTTCTCAAGGTGATGCTTACCGATAAAAACCCGTATAAATTGCATTATTTCTTAGCATACGTACATAAATATCCATTTTTAATAATCTTTATATTCTAAGAAATTTTAAGTCATGGTGAACATATCGTTTTCGAACTCATCCCCCTTATTTTCTAGAAGGTTCTGCAGCTCATTGTGGTGTTTTAAGCGTTGGTAGATAAGGGTAGAAATTTCCATGTTAATATCCTCCACAACATCGGGTGGCAACTTGGACAACATTCTGTCATAATTTTCATACATTGATAAATACTTGAGGTGACCAGACGGTGTAATTTTATCTAGAGTAATATCCTGTTTTCTGGAAGCGCTTAAGTTTAAAATACTGGAATTCGATGGAAATCCCTGTTCGAAACATAAATATTTCGACGCAATTTAGAATTTTTTCGGGTAGAAATTAATTTACTTAAGCAGATTGGAATTACCACGCTCTGTTCTCTACTTGAGGTTGATGTTGCAGTACTGATTGAATTTTTATGGCCACGTGGCACAAATTCGTACCCGTTCTTGTCCAGGGTAGAATTTGCAGACATCAACGTGGAATGGCTGGCATTAGACATGGCACACTGGTCACTCATAGTCTCCACTAGTAAACCGATTTCTGCCTATAAATGTCGTAATTATTTTCTTATTACAGCTTGTGAATAAATTTACTCAAAAATTTGTACATTATTATTAATTTGTGCAAAATTATTATGTTTGTATCATCACAAAGCATATATTGATATGCATATTTATTTATACTTACGTCATGATTTGCTATTTCGGCAATAGAATTTAGAGCCAATGAAGTTTTAGATGTGTCTACTAACTCCCATTTCTTTCTACTATGCTCAATTAGGTTCTGAAATGAAACACATTTTTAAACCAGACTCATATACATACATATTTAAATCACATCTCAAGTATAATTAAGGAAATTGAGTATTAACCAGAATAGTGGATCTCGTAGTGTTGGATACTTCCCCACCATCGGCCAGCAATTGTAAGGATTTCAACGTTTTTCCCGTCCATTTGGCACAATCTTTGTGCAATTTTTCTCCTGATGTTTTCAACAATACGCAAAGACTTTTCAGGCTTTCGTCATCTTTTGTCGCTAAAAATTTCAAAATTTATCAATTCATCAAACGAAATTGGGAAAAATTGTTGGAATATTTATGAACTCTTAGAAATATAGGATTAAAATGATACTAACAATGCAAGTCTTTTAGGTGTACAACTCAGATCTGGTTGGGACCAATTTTATTTTGTTCACCACAAAAAATAAGCATACCCGTATTTTTTCATTTTTCATAATGCGCTAATTTAAGCGCGGGGCGCGAATTTTAAAACATTTTTCAGCCCAAACCTAGGTTTTTAAAAATTCTGTAAATTTTCGAATTTTTGCGCGAGTCCAAAAATTCGAAAACATGTGGGCTTCAGAATGACCTACTTGACTAATGAAAAATCCACATGCATTATTTTTTGAAAAATTAAAAATTTGAAAGAGTTTATAATTTTAATGAATTTCAAAAACTGGCAAAAAATTTTGAAAATCAAATTTCGAGACAACTGGATTTTTCATAAGTCAGGTAAGTCATTCTGAAGAGACATGTTTTCGAATTTTTGGATTCGCGCAAAAATTCGAAAATTACAGAATTTTTAAAAACCTAGGTTTTGGCTGAAAAATGTTTCAAAATTCGCGCCCCGCGCTCAAATTAGCGCATTATGAAAAATGAAAAAATACGGGTATGCTTATTTTTTGTGGCGAACAAAATAAAATTGGTCCCAACCAGATCTGAGTTGTACACGTAAAAGACTTGCATTGTAAGCAGCATTCATATATAACTATAAAATAGTACTGGTAAGTAATACCGGGTAGTAATTACTCGGTATTCAAGTGTCATCCTGTTCGTGACAAATTATCATGGATCGGTTTAATTTTAATACCAAACGGTAGCAACTTTAACACCGAGAAATCAATACCCCGGACCATACCAAATTTCTAACAGTGTATTTACAGTTAGTTACCCAAAAGTTTGTTAGTGCACGCCACGACGAACTGAAATTCCAAGATATTCGTATTGAATAGTTCCCCTATGAACCTCGCATTTGCACGGAAATGTTGCCTCCAAATAGTAACTTCATCTTCAAGAGACCCCATGGATTTTTGTGCTTGGCGACTAGAGCCTTGAGTGGTTTGAGCACGCATTAATTGGTCTTCGATTTCTTTAATTCTTACACAATTTTCTGTATTGTACAAAAACTCTTCTTCACATCGAATTCGTATCTTTGACTGGAAAACTTTACGCGATGGGTATGACTTAGAGCAGAAAATTTGAACCTAAAACCATAAATTTATTATTGACAAATTGTTTTCAAAATTTCGGGAATATTTTGTAATTATGAAGTAAACCTATTACCAAACTTGCACAAGCCTTCGTGAGTGCTACGGTGTGAATAATCTTGCTAAACATTGTGTCGATTATGGCAGTAATTTGATTATCAAATTCTTGCGGGGATAATCCTTGAAAGTCTTTCGCAATGTTGTCAACGTTGTCGATCGTTAGTTTATTTAGGATGTGACAAATCTTATCTCCGTTAAGATGCTATGATTTTTGGAAACGAATACATTTTAAGGGCAACATTTTTTTCTACATTTTAATAAAAATTGTAGTTACCAAAGTTTGTTTTGACTCCACCCCCACGGTTTTATCAAGCTCTACAGGATTTCCTTCCTCAGACTTCCAGTTTTTCGCTCTTCGTTTTAAAACATCCTACCAGAAGGTTTTAAGTTATTTGTATGTATGGATCACAGTTATGCATATATTTATGTACTTATAAACTCTTAAAAATTATGTTACCCTTTTGAAATGTAAATGCAGCCTCAAGTCTATTCTTCTAAAAGCAAATTATTTGCACTAAATCGTGAATAAGCTTTGCTCCTTATCAAATAAACATTTCCCCGGATTTAGTATAGTTTAAATACTTACAATGTGAGAAGATTAATTACAAGATTTGGGATTAAGATTTTTGTTAATTATTATCAACACTCTGATAACAAAATTCTTAAAATGTTAAATTTCAGAGACAAAATATCGGTAACTAATGGAAATTTTCCCACTGCAAATTTTTTAATTGTAGCGTGATATTTAAATCATCTTGTGCTTTGTTAATTTCATATGTATATAGCATTCAGATTTCATTCACAAGGGTAACATGATTCTTAAGAGTGTACTTAACTTACTAAAATCTCATTTTTTGATTCTGTTGAGACACCTTTCATGCGATAAATCTTTTCAAGATTTAGGAACAAATTTGTCGCCCATTCCACAAAGTTTTCAGTTCTTGCCGATTTTGCAACATTATTCGCCACGGTTGAAACCTTTATCAGTCTTACTTTCTCGTCTAGTGAGGGTCCAATTGTGTTAACCAAGGCGCACAAAGCCACCAGACTTATGTCATCAGTTTGTTCTGGAGTTAAAAAAAAGAACTTTTTTACAAAAAAGTTGGCAGTTTTGAAAACGCCTTTCAGAAAACGATAACACTTACTTAAAATTGCATTAGCGGTGTCCATCAGGGTTTGATTCGGTATCACAGCCATGTTAAAGAATTCACCGATAAGTGTGACATTACCAACGATTACTTTTATGCATTTGGCCTTCATGAGTTTCAAAGGTGCTCCCAATATTTCAAAATCTTGACGGCCTGACCCAGCACGACAAACTTGATCGATCTGTTTTGCATTTACTAGGACCGATTGTAAATCTGTTTGTAGTCTGTCAAGTACTTTTGTCCTTAACGTTTTAAGCACAACGTTAGATTTGTGAACCTAAAGTTGGAACAATAAATGCAAGTTACCCTCGTAAAAAATAATGTTACCCATTTGAAAAGTAAATCCACTTTAAATACTGTATTAAGTAAGCTATGTACACAATAATATATTAAATCTAGAGTTAACTTTACTCTGGGTTTAGGATAGTTTACTTAACATACTTATCATTCAGAGTTAACTTTTTAAAAGGGTAACATTATTTTAACAGTGCACATCTCAAAATATTAGTTTCGCCGCAGTAATAATTGTTTGAGAAATGTTTACTCACCAATTTTGCATATAACCCAGACGTATAAGGTTTACTGACAACCTTATCGAGAATAACGGTAACCACCACGTTTATTAAGGGATCCTTCCCTTCTAATCGTAAATTGATAAACTCGCTTAAAACTTGGTCGAATGTGTCAATCCGAAGTTTGTTAAACAGTTGACGAATTGTTAGCTCGAAATTCTGAAATTGATACGTAAACGATCACGCTAATAAAATAAATTTAAACAGTCATTTAAATATGCAATATAAATATCCACTTACTTCCATGACGAGTCTGATTGAATGTGGACTAGTAATTTTAATTAACTCGAAACCGAAAGAAATGCGAATTTAAGAATGAACACATGTATACACAAACTTTGTGACACAAAGTAATACTTATGTAATACGTACGTATGGCCGGTTTTTGTAGCAACATGTACACAATGTTCTTTCCTCGAACATGTGTTTGACGCAGCTACCCACAGAATTATAGGTGGGTATAATATGTACAATGCACATATATCTGTATGTATGTATACATGTGGGTATTTCTTTACGTATTACATACAATACATTTTTATGCATTTATTGTATGGAAGTATGTTCATATGGTTGAAAAGTGGCACAGATGAGAAATGTAGCTTTGTTAGAATGTAGCTTTATAGTTCCATATATCCCTTATCGTGTGGAAAAGTGGTGGTGCAGAGATATGAGAGACAAAGCAGATATGAGACATTGGGTTTTATTCAAGCATGCAATTACACATGCAAGTTTGGCATGTATTTGTGTATGAATATTTACTACTTTTTATAGCATGATTGTTAATGACGTGGTGTTATTTTTACACGGAAATGTAAATGGATTGGGTGACTGGTATTAATTGCTGGGTCCAAATCCTTAAGTGCAACATACCTTGGTAACATGATTGTACTGACATCAGTTTATGTTCAATTGCATAAATACAATGAACAGAGTAAAGACTTGGCCAAATATCTGAAATTATTATGCAAACTATATAAATAAATAGATCGGTAGGTATGAATATGTACATATATATGTACCATTGCCGGTAGTTTTACCCTGCCACCATGGTGATAAGTTTATACACGACTGGTACTAACTTTGGGTACCACACTAATATATATTTTTTACTCTGTGGGACAGCTACTACCAGCAGGATAACACATTTATGTATTACTATACTGGTAAAGAGGCATGTCGTCACCGCTGACCTTGTTTCTTATGATGCACATTCTTAAAAAATAAAATTACTAATTAACTAAATGTCTTACATATGTACTTACACTTAAGGTTAATGAGTTGTTCAGCTTGGCATAACCACTTAGTGAAATTTCCGTTGGAAAAAGTGACAATTCGGTGTAAATGCTTTTTATCTAGGATTAAATAAAGTGCATACATAAATCTTTTAAAACTATTAATGTTTTAATTATTACCTAATGTTCATTAAACCCCATTACGGGATCATTCGGGGTATTCATTGTTCATTCGTAAAATACATACATAAGTGACAAAGAAAGCTTTTTGCCAGCATACTACAGTTCAGTCAGCAAAAATAGCGTAAATAAGGTTAATATTTTTATTTATATGAATAAACTATACTTTGCAACCTTAAGGTTACCAAGACAATTGGGAATACCTGCATTATTACAAAAATACCCCCCGTATTGTACACAAATAGCGCAGTGTCCGAAAAACGTTGCCAAATAAAATTGCACTGAGCCAAATTGATGCCGCTTTCTTACCTCATTTCTCGTCCAGACTTGATTCTTGATTTCTTGTAGTTCTAACTCTTTTAGAATGTCTGCAATTCCCTTTTCCTGTAAAATTACGTCTTTTAATTGGCAATTACTCTTTAAGGGATGTTCATAAATTATGTAACGAAAAAATCGCAATTTTCTAGACCCCCTCCCCCCTTTAACACGTGTCACAGAAACAGCATATCCTCCGCCCCTTTTTACGTTATATAATTTTTGGACGTCCCATCAAAAAAATTGCATACACATTCCAACCAATTCATTTACCTCTGCCGTAATTCGCACTCCTGCCCGAATTTTTAAGAAGACGCGATACAGTGAAAAAATACTGAAAACCGACATACTACCCACCAACAGGTAATAATCGGCGTTACCCTCGATCAACAACATTAAGGAGATGTAAACGGTCGAAGAGGCAAACCAAATCGACAACATGACCGACAGTAATTGTGACGGGGCTAAATATTCCCCGGCTAAAACAGCCTGCCCCCGAATGCTGAGGAGTAGTCTTTTCAAATTTCGCAACTGCACGGCGTCCATAACTACAGTCTGAATGATTTGACGTACCTGGTGTGAATTTTTCAGAAAGTTAGTAAATCATAGGGTTAAATTTATTATGAAAAACATTGAGGCAATTCACGCAGTCCTTGGTAACTCGTAAGATTCATGCGCTTTGTGAAACAATTTTATAAACCTTTGCAAAATAAAAAGACGCATTTGATCTGAATAAATTTAAAAAAAGGTTGAAGCCAATTTTCCTTAGAAATATTGCTAAAGCTTGTTAGTTTAAGAATTTAAGAGTTTTACAATGTTACCGAAGCCTGTATAAAGTTCTTCATTAGGTTTATTGCGAACCACGTTTCTACTAAATTTTGGCGAAAGTATCTTTCTCATTTACATACGCTAGTGATAAATTTAGTATTTTCGTCAAAATTTAGTAGAGATTGTGAAGTATGGTTTTTACACTCAATTTTAACGCAAACGCTAAATTTGTCATTACTATATGCAAAATAACTTAGCGTTTACGTGAAAATTTTGTGTAAGTACCATTAATCCGCAATCTGTCTACTGTAAGCATCTTAGTTCGTAATCTATATATTACCTCTGAAAACCCGACTTCAACACACTTCAACATGAGGACAACCTTAATATCGTCGGTTACATAGGAAGTCGTATTAAGAATACAGAAGAGAGCATGCAGCACAAAATAAACCGGATAGTCGAACAAAAACGGTAAATCTGCAATTAATATGAATACACAGAAAGGTAACGCCATCGAGAGGGAGTAGGTCGGAGCAAAGGTATTTCTGAATTTAGAAACGTTTATGTTTCCGAGATGGACAAATTCGTCACTTTCTAGGGATTGAATTCGATTCCAGGCATTTAGATAAGCCACGAAGCGGGGCGTGGTCCACCAAGAAATAAAATATTCGACAATTATGTTTCCAAGGAGAGAATTTGGGCGGCTTGAAGTAAAATAAAGGTCAGACGGATGCCAGGGGGCGCGGAAGTTACATTGGGATATTCCATGTTTGGCCAACTTAAAATAAAATAATTCGACGTATTTAAAAAATTAGACAGCAAAGTATTGTTATTAAGGAGATTGCGAGTTAAAGTACAGAAAATAAATTTGCAAACAAACTTCAAATTTATTGTTAGCTTCGATGTTTATTCATAAATATGAGGTCTGCATAATTGATTAATCTATTTTCAAATCAAATTAATTCATAGATGTATGAATTAATTTTAATGCAAAAATTTACCCGAAATTTGAATTGTATCTTAATTTCACTTTAGGCTAACCAGCTTAATATTTAGTGTACGGTTAAAAACTTTGTTCTCCTCTAAAATCAGTTTCTTAAAGTAATACAAAAATATCGAAAACACCAACAGAATTAACGTTATCGTAATATCGGCATCGCCCAAACTCGGCGCGAATCAAAATTTAGTGTTAACGTCAGAAAATTCGGTAGTTTAATTCCATAAATTCGCAATCTCCCTTTTAATGAGGCATGTTCTTACATTCGCCCCGCTGCAAATAGCTGTCGCCCAGTCGCTCCAAATTGAAGCATGCCAAAAGTTATGAAGGCAATTGACAAAACCGCCATTGTCGCGGGGAATACGATACATTTGGCGGATGTCGGTCTGAAATCGTACTCCGTGTAAGTTCCATAGTTTTTAAATAATATAGGACATCGACCATAAAAGCAGAGAAGTTTTACAAGTGGGAAGAGTTGTGATGTCACTTTTGGCGGTAGTGTTTGAAAAGTTTGAGGTTTTCCTGGAACAATTGTATTATCCATTGCTTATTTATGTATTTTATGGACAGGAAAACACAAATGTTAAAGCGTGATGACGAACCAAATAGCGTAGAGTTTCTCCTGGTCCCTCAATAAATATAGTTATGTATGTATGAACTTGATACACATTGATGTTGACAAAATGGGCTGTCTTTTTATTGACTGAAATTTCCTTAATTGATGCATACATACGTGCATACAAAACTAATTTGATAATTGGACAGAATACAATTAAGACTGTTGTGGATGACGCGTTCGCGCGCAATCTCACTCAACCCGTGTTTAATGTCTTTAAATGTAATTTCTAAATGGCATCAACTTCATGAGTATTGAGATAAATGGGACTTTTGATATTTTAATTTAAAGCTAATTTTCGGTACTACAAAGCCTTGGTGTTTTGAAAAATTAGAAAATTCATCTTTGAAGAAATTTAGTGTGCAAAAATAGCAAATGAATTTTCTAATTTTTCAAAACACCAAGGTTTTGTAGTACCAAAAATTAGCTTTACATTAAAATATCAAAAGTCCCATTTATCTCAATACTCATGAAGTTGATGCCATTTAGAAATTACATTTAAATACATTGAGCACGGGTTAAGTGAGACTACACGCTTAAAAATGTTCCCGACTTTGCAAGAAGTAAACTGGTAGACAACTATATATAAAGTAACATTGACTAGATTTAGCGTTAAATGGATAACTTCAATTTTAGTTATGCATCATCTAGCCATAATTTTAGTTAAGTCGGTATATTACTTTAAACTAAGTTAGACGTTACACCAATCAGGGTCAGACTGTACTAGCATTTACTACATTCCGGGTACTTTGTCCCGCCAAAAAAAAGCTTGGCCCACGCTCCAATTTTCCATCGTCCTTGTAACAAGAGTGAGTGCCCGAGTGCGAATTAAAACTAAAGTATATATTAATTAATTTGCCTAATAATTAATTAGTTGAAGCTCAAATATTCCACAATTCCACACCAACTGTACTAGATATGGAAGAAACTGCTCGACTACTATCGCAATGTGGGCTGGATTGCTATTTTGATACTTTCAAGGGTAAGTTTATCTACAATTGTCCATAACTGTACCATAACTGACACTTTGCTCATTTCATTTTATTTTAAAATAGAAAATGCAATAACGGAAGACGCGACGCGAGAAGATTTGGCAACAATTGTACCAATACGAAACTTTGGAAGGAATTCAGAAGTAGAAAAATGGCACGATTTACGTATGTTTTCAATGCAAAAATTCCTATCACCATTACTCTCCGATCACTTTAAATATGTGCATAGGTTATCAAAGTTAAGGCAATTATTTCATATTATTTTTGGTTGTTTTGTAATTGTGATTTAAAGAGTTCAAGTGGATTTAATTGAAATAAATATATGCTAATGAGGATATTTACAAATACCGCATTCATTTTATTGAGACACTATATAAATACCGCGACCATTATTCATTTTACTTAATATGGGGTTAGAATAGTAACCCCAACCAGGGTTAGCACCTAGACGAGAATAGGGTAAATGGCTATTTGCGAAGGGTAACTACCGTTACTTTATTGCTATGTTGTGGCTGTATACCCCAAATCGGGTAAAGTCACTTTTACGTTTATATTTAGTTATATTTTACTCCTTTTAGGGTAATAATTTTTAAGCGTGTAAACACTCTATGAAAATGAAGTAGAGCCTTAAGAAGTACAAATGTTTTGCTAATTTAATCCAGATAAAGGTAAACCTCTATAAATTAATCATTAAATGTGAGCTGCTACGGGTTGCTTTGGCGTTAGTCCACCCGTGAAACTGCATAGAAGAAACTGCTACGCCCTGCTTCATATAAGCCGGATCCCCATTCATATTTGCTTCTGAAAATATTTTATGATGATGCTAAGAAAACGAAGGAATCGTGAATACCTTCCGTGAAGGTATTCATGAATGAAGTAGTGTCTCTTAAATCTACTTTCTGGCCTGCTTAATGCCTATTACTTGGTAAAGTACAAATAAATTAGTCAAAATCGATAATAAATCATCATAAACATTCGTCAATAATATGTAAAATCATTATTTTATAAATCTGAAAATTGAGCTCAAATATGATACATTTCAGCTTTAAGTTAATTGTTAATTATATAATTTAGGTCCCGACAGATCGTATCATCTCTGATCTTAAGATCCTCTTCATCTCTCGATAATCGAACAAACCCTCGTTCACACTTGTACCGCACATTATCCACGTAGAGCCAGTTCTGCCCGTCGATAAACGAGTCAACCACGTCAAAAAACCGGAAAAGATTTTCCTCTTCGCTGATAAGGTGTATTAGCGTTTCCTTGATTAAAATCAAGTCCTCGAGATCTTCATTAATCATACCGCACACGGCATCAACAGCGCCTTGAAGGGATTCTTTCTTTAAGAGAACACGAAATACGATTTCACTGTCGACGTCACCTTCCCCATATGCGAAATCTTTCGTCACCCCGAGGATGTCGTTAGCCATATGGGTATTCTTCACGGCTATGTCCACCATCCGGGAAAAGGCGGGATGTGTACTAATGTCTTGTGCGATTCGAATCTGCTTGATCATTGCGATTGCAGCTAAGGCTAAAGGTGCACCCGAATCGTGGTACCGCCAGGATTGAAATGTAGCGATATTGTACCTAATAAAATAGCTGTGATTAAACATTTAAGTTAACGTATAATTTGTGATTATATTCACTCTAGAAAAAAATGCCAGGGTTACATATTTATGTGGCAAATCCACGTGGTGATAGTGTTTGTAACCTGCTGATGAGAATTTACTACGATTTACTGTAATTAAAGGGTGTTGATTTAATTCGTTGATGGGTTTTTAGGCTTAAATCATATTTATGCAAGCATAACTTTCAAGCAAGTTAACATTTTTCAAAATTTTACATATCATGCATAGAAAAAAAGGTAAGTTCTAATCATGAGAATCTTAATATTGACCAGAAGAACCTGTTTTCACCAAGTTTTAAAATAAACTGGAAAATCGGGACAAATTAAATTAACACCCTTTAGTAAAAAAGTAAATTTACCACAGATTTTTTGCACTGTGCATACAATTATTTTTGCAAATGACAAACCTTCCATACACCGGATTCACCGTGAACCAGTGATTACTTTCAAAGTACTTTTGCAAACTGGCCGTAACTATGGTGACATCCTTCTCGTACGTCTCCTTCCCTAAAATCTGTTTTCCTACCCGCACAACATCCTCAGCTAAAACGCACATTGGCCCAAATTCTGGAAACCCTGGAAACGTCATTGCCTCATTTCGAAATTTTTTCACACCTCCGAAGATCCCCACGTATATTTCGTTCACCGCTCGGAGTTCAGTGATGTCCGGTTTCCCAGAAATATTCGTCCAATCTTCTTCGATAGCATCGTCCAGAAACCAAACCCAGATGCAGAACCGGATCATAAAATCCATCTCGTTTGAGTCAATTTCAACGTCTGGCATCCAATAAAGGGAACATTGTACCGCGGTCAAAATGATCGTTTTAATAGAGCAACGTTTAAAGTGATGATCTCTGAAGCCACATTTATTCGCCAGTTTGTAATATCTATTCGCCAAATTGTCAATTATACTTGGGTCAACTTCAAGTCGGAAGAAATTTGGTTGGATTCGTCGAAATTGCCCCGTTACTTTAGTCATGCCGAAATTGGGATGGCTTATGGCGGGGAACCGGAAGTGGACAGATCCACTTAATTGGGTAGGTCGGTACTTTGACGGTTTCATGTTAATAGAATTTTGTAACTAAATCTAGCTGTAAACAAAGAGTTGGATATTTAGATAGAGGGATTCACTGTTGGTTAGCGTAAAGCAGGGCAGAGTTTGAGGCACATTGAGACAAAATTTAACCACGTCAATGTCAACATTCAAAAGAAAAATTGGATAATCAGAAGCTTTCAAACCCAATGTAGGATTTTAAATTTTTTTTTTAACTTTTTAACTTTTTACCTTTTACTTTACAAAAAAACAGTACTTTTTATTGGCTTTCAACTTTGAAATTTTAACTTAATTTTTATGAATTTTTTTACCAAACGGAATTTTTTAATAATCAATTATCCATATTTCTTCGTTGAAATCTGGCCATGTTTACTCATCCTCAGAGCAGAGGTCAACGCCGTCGATCTTACGCCGCCAGACGCCGAACCGTTTTGACGCGCCGCCGCCGCCGCGAAAATCTGGTCGACGCGCCGGCGGCAATATGCGGCCGCCGATTTAGATTTAAATCTGATGAATTTTTTAATTTAGTTTATTTTTTTAATATTTTTTTAAACTTTTTAAAAATTTTTAGTGTTTTAAACATTATTGTTGTTTAACTTTGAAAATTTATATTTTAAAAATTTTCGTATTGACATTTACCAAATCCCATTTACGATACCATCTAATTCAAGTTGCAGGCAAGAAATAGGGACATAGACTTATTACCTAGTTTAAACACCTAAAATAGGGATGTATCATAAAATTATGTAAGAAATGTGACAACCAACTGCGCGAAATGAAAAAGCCGTGATCTTTGACATTTTTAATATTCATCTCAAATATTTAAAATTTGACCGTCAAATATAACATATTCAATTTTTCTCTTAAACTTGTTTAAAGTGCACGAAGAAACAGTTAATGAAAAGATACATTCTCCAAGAAATATTGCAAATTTTAGATTATTAGCAATATTAATTTAGCGTGCTTCAGATCCTTCCTCTTTAGCGTATATACGTTTAGCAATTTATGTACGCACCGCCGCCGCCGACCAATATATATTTTCACGTAAACTGTCGGCGTTGACCTCTGCCTCAGAGTATGTAACTCCCTCTACCTAAATATCCACACTATGGTTTTATGTTAACGGGAAACGTCAGTAATTCGATGCCATGGTCGAGTTGACTCCTTTTATACTCCATATTTTTCTACAGGTATTATTTTATTGCGTATTTTACTAAAAATTATTAACACTTATTTATACATATACGTAATATCCTATGATACTTATATAATATCTACGTATTGCGCAAATTGCGTCATTAGTTACAAATACTGGCGCAATTAAGATACCACTTAAAACAATAACTTCCTATTTTAATTACTTTTCTGTGTAAATAGTAATTGAATTGCATTTTCGCGAGAAACTTATGTGACGGATACATGCGTCATATAATTGCTGATACGGAGATGAGTACAATTTTCAGGTATATATATATAATTATCTAATTTGCATAGGAATTTATAGTTTCATTGTGCGACACAACTTGTTTATTTAGTTGACATTTTCCTTATTAATTTTGACTACATAGAATGGATTAGAAATTATAAAATGTAATTGCTTTAAGCACTTTAGATTCCTTCTTGAAATTCTACATATCTGGTCATTCGTAGTTATCTGTACCGAAATCATAGCTCACAATGGATCATAAAAAAATTGGTCCATCGATGGAGCAATAAACCTTAGCAAAGTTTTGTATGTATTTAAATGTACGGAATTAATGATAACAAAAATTCCATAAAAGTAAATGGAGGATAAGGCTGTAACATAGTAGATAATTTTTGGCGAGGCCGAAAATTTGCAATTTGGAACCCTTGTTTTACTTGGTCTCATCTAAAAAGTGTTAAATTCCTCAGTTTGCAATACAAGCACCTCTGGGAGAAGCAAATTTAGCAACATTTTTCTTATTAATTCAAAAAAGTGCTCATGCAGTGCTGAAGACTGCAAAAATATGTATGAGTACTTTTACTTATTAGCTTATAATCGTAATCGATTATAAGTAATTGACATAATCATTATTGCTTTAAGCTAATTTGCTATTAACCCTTTAACTCGTGTAGCTATAAGACAATTGTGGTTTTGTACACTCTAAGAAATTTTATCACCAGCGCGGTGGTCATATGTGACTCTACCGGCAGGTGGCAGAAGACCACCGGAGGGTGGATGCCCATCACCAGCTTAGTGATGATCAATCACCGTGCGGTGGTGCAGTTGTCACCGTTCGGTGGTTGCAGCTGTCACCATTCCGGTAGAGTCACATATGACCACCGCGCGGTGATAGTTATCACCAGGTTTCTTAGAGTGTATGTAACAAATGGTTTAATTCGGGAGTAAGACAAAAGTCGTACTGAAAAATCATGGCCGTTGTGCGGGAGTAAGACGTTTCCAGCTGGTCATTAATTTTCAACATTTTTTCGCCTTGCCCTAGAATCTCTTGGAATTTTAGGGATTTCTTCTATGCCAACCAAATGTTAAATTTGAACATTTTCTTACCCGAAATTTGGATATTTCCCAATCTAAAGCAATTCTAAATTATTGGTATATCAGTTTTTCGAGTTTTATTAAAACTCCTGAATTACTTCTCCCGCACCATGACCACAACATTCTTATAAC